CTCTGAACCAGGACTCTGAACCAGTTCCCTACAAACTGCCTGTTTAATGTCCCTGACACACATTATCATAATATAACTTTATTATATTATCACTGTCTGCGATAAGTTCAGGCTGTGAGCTCAGAAAACTAATATTATTTCACCTTAAAGCTGATACAGTTATAAATAGTTAAAGAGAAACACTTCTGAATGTTTTGTGAGATGCTAAAATGGAAGAATATCCGACTAATTTATTTATCAATTAATGAATCAATGAATCCAGAGAAGATGCATTTGCAGGATGATGAAGTCAGACTTTAGCTAGTTAATGAAGGCTGCGGCTAATAACAAAACACTGGTAATAGTCCAGTAAAGAACCAGTTGTAATAGAACCAGTGATGTTAACACGCAGTATGTTTTTATACTGTTACAGCGTTAGGGGCGGGGCTAACTATGGCTCCAGTGTGTCATCGAGTCGTACTTTTAGCCCCGCCCAAAACATCCTGAACCCAAAACTGATGAAAAAGACTTTAACAATCAAACTCCACAGTTCATTGTTACGTATTTCAGTCTTTTAATGTTTTCAGCAGTTATTTTATGGCATGTATAAAGTGTTTATATGGACTTTAAAGGACCAGTCTGTAGACTTTAAAGGACCAGTCTGTAGACTTTAAAGGACCAGTGGAATGAAAACATTGTGAAACTACAGTGGCTGTGTAAAGAAATACAGATGAGCCTGTGTTTGTCCGTTCTGGGCTACCGTAGAAACATGGCGGACTCTGTGGAAGGCGACTGTATTTGTTGGCTCAGAGTTAACAGTTGAGTGTTTGGGGACAAAAAGTCTCGATGTCGCCGCCGTATCCCGGCGCCAGCGACTGATATAAAGTGAAGGATTTCTGAGATTGTCCTCCGCTGACTCTCTTCATATCAGTCTCTTCTGTTTGTTGATGCCGTCACTAAAACTTCTTCTCTTCTTCTTCCTGTCGTTATCAGAAGAAAAGCAAAGGCAAGAAGGGAGAGAAGAAGCAGAAACACAGCAGCCGCAGAGATGAAGGAGGTGAGTGGTTTCTGAGTGTGACTGTTCTCAGCCTCGCTGCTCTCTCACTTCCTGTTTTCACCTCCTCGCTAAATGCCACCGGAGTCTGACCGCAGACGAGACGTCACTTTGTGCTCCTGGAGCTTGAGATGTGTTTCTCACATTATTATAATAATAATAATAATAATAATAATAATAATAATAATAATAATAAGGTTATACCTTGAAGAAGAGCTACATTAGTTTAGCTTTAGCTGCTCTAACAGTTTGCAGCTGAGCAGGTAGCGACCACATGGAACCAGCTGATGCTGAAACTTCCTGTTGTGTTTCTTGTGGTTGCAGTAAAAGTCTGATTGGTTCACACAGCCTGCTCTTTATTTCTCACAGTTAGGATCATGTGACCTGGCATCACAACATCCACCACACATTTCAGAATAAAACTTCAGCTCAACTAGCTCACTGTGGTTGTAGCTGTTAATATCTGTGTGTATCAGTGTGTATCA